ACTTGTTTTAAAATTTTATTATACAATATATGTAATAAAATCTATCACTTGAACCATTTTTGAGAGTGTGATTCAGTTGCATTAAATGTATTCATACTGTTGTGCAGCCATCAGCAGTACCCACCCCCAGCACGCCGTCATCATCCTACAATGAAACGCCACACTGGGCAACAGCACCCCATCCCCTCTCCTCCAGCCCCCGGTAACCACTGTTCCACTCTCTGTCTCTCTGAATCTGACTACTTTAAGTATCTCAGAAGTGGAATCATACAGTTTTTGTCCTTTGGGGACTGGCCTACTTTACTTTGCATGATGTCTTCAAGGTTCATGCCTATTGCGGGATGGATGTATCAGAATTGCATTCTTTTTTAAGACAGAATAATATTTTATAGTAGGTATATACCACATTGTGTTTATCCATTCATCCATCAAAGGACATTTAGGTTCTTTCCACCTTCTAGCTATTGTGAATAATGCTGCTATGAACGTGGACAGACTAATATGTGTCCAAACCCCTACTTGAGCTGGCTCAAATGGTAATTCAATTTTAATTCTTAGGAGGACTCGCCATACCGTTTTCCACAGAAGCTGTCCCGTTTTACACTCCCACCAGCTGTGCACAGGGGTTCTAGTTTCTAAGGGAGTGGGTTTTTGCCCATGAGAAAGAGAGAGTGCCTTCTAATTGGCATCTCAAAACAATGCTAAACCATGTGCATTTGTATGAGGAGTTTTCTCTGACTTTTTAAAAGCGCAGTATTTGTAAAGTCTGCTCTGGTCTTCAGTTTGTCATTTTAAAACCTCATGTTAGCAACTTCAACATTCTAGTGGCCGTGGCAGCCCTCCAGGTAAAGCCCGCAGACAGCCTGCAGTGTGAGTTCAATAAGTGGAAATCCACAAGGCACATAACTGGTCGTGAAGATCAAGGAAACAAGAAGAGGGTCTCAGAGCTGACCTGTGAGCTGCTGAGCCCATTAAACTGAGTAAATAACTAGTGAAAACAAGAAAGGGTAGTGATGAGGACAGAAAAGAGAAAGCTCACAGGGGCACCTTTTACACGACGAACAAAGAAATGGAGGTCACAGCTTGTAAGAGGCCATTTGAAAGCAGCTTGATTTGTAAACATTAGGGACATGAAATTTCAGGGAAAACAAAGCAAAGCCTGTCAGAAACGGTTTTAAGTAAATTAAGAACAAAAACCGAAATCAATGACTGGATTTGCAGGCGGGGAGGGAACAGCTGTGCAGCATTAACATATTCGTGTGAGGAAGGCAACATGCATAAAAGTCGATGCCATATTCAGCCTCATGTTTAGAGGGATCTTAGAGTTTGAATGCCGGGTATTTACTAGCAGAGAAAAGTTGCCTTTTGATGTAAAGCATGACTGTATAAAGAGAGATCGCTGATTCATTCAGCAGCTGAACAAATGTTTCTTGAGTGTCCATTATGCGCCAGAATCTGGACTGGGGCGTGGAGACGGAGTTTGCAGTTGTGGTCGGCGAGGCAGACGGATCTATTAGATAGACGTCCTCAGACAGCGAGGAGGTGAAGCACCAGGACACCAAGTGCATGGAGGGAGGGGAGCCAAGGGGTTCTTGCTCTGGGAGCCAGAGGCTCCTTGTAGGCTTTCTGAAGAAGAGGTCTGACCTAACAGGTGGGCTGAGTAGTTCACTTCCCCAAGAAGGAGGTGGATTCAGGTGAAGTAGAACCTCTTTCTAGGATGGACCAACCTGAGCAAAGGTGAGGAAGTGGAAGAGTCTGACGGGTGGAGAGGTGATGGTGGAGGACAGCAGGGGCCGTGAATTTCAAGGCCAGAAGCAGCTGGGGATCATGCTGGAGCAAGATCAAAATTATTCATTTTTCTTTTCCTCAGTGTCTAAATCCATCCCATTCCAATCCCCCATCTCCCTACACAAGCACTGCTTTTTAGAATAATCACAATTGCATATTTCATTGAAGATTCATTGTAAATAGGCTCATCCTGGAGATGGGGAGCTGATGTTAGCAGTAGTTAGCAGTCTCATGCTCTCAGAGGTGGTGGTCTTTTTCTACCACTGCCTGAGCTGGGCTTGTGGATGGTTCTCCAGCATCTGTTCCACCCCTGCCTTGTTGAATAGCAGTGATGTGGTTTGGGGACTTGACCTTAGCAGGAGGTCAGCTGATTTAAGGGTCATCCCCTCTCCACTGCCAGGATTTTAGTTCACCCAGTGGGTGTGTGTGATTCACTTTAGGCTAAGGAGAAAAGATGACAGTTTGGAGGAGGATTGGGGGAAAAGAACCGTGCTTAAATGAGCTGTCTTGTTGCTAGATGAGAACCAGAAGCTTATCACCCTAGTGCCATGAGGGACCCAGGTTTAGGATAAAGGTCTTGTTATGGAGAACAGAATGGAGAGATGAAAAAAAGAAAAAAAGGGTCTTTGATGGCACCGTTGAGCTGACTCTTTTTTTTTTTTTAAACCATTAGTGGGCTTCCTCTCCTGAAAGCTGATTTTCCTTACTGCTTAATCTATATTGGGTTTGTCCACCTGAAACTTGAAATCATCTGCAGCCTAAGTGAAACGTGATCTTTGTGACCTTCAGCAGACACCCATATGACTTCTTATAACTATAACCCTTTGAGCCTCATTTCCCATATCTGTGAAATGAATGTATGTCTCAGAGTTTTCCAGGAAGATTATTTGAATTCCACCACAAAGCCTGAGAGAGGAGGCAGGAGCTAATCCATGTTGAGTGCCTCCTATGCACCATGAAATAGGCTGGTCCTTGCTTTAGGAAGCTTAAAGAGTAAGAGAAATTCAGATAATTTTTGTGTACAGTGGTATAAATAGTAAGGTCACATGCATATGAACCTTTGTACAGTGAGTTTTTCTAAGATCATTCACACAACATTTGTTTAATACTTACCCGTAGTTCCAGGCACATGATTTACCGTGTGGTGAGGGTGGGGTGGGTGGTGGGGAGAATGAGGAAGGGGACTGAGGGAAGGCATATCTGAGAAGTTGGTATTTAAACTGAAACCTGAAAGACGGGTAGGAATTAGGTGAAGAATGGGAAAGAAAATTTCAGAAAATGATATATCAAAGAAACGTGATATACAAAATCCAGAAGGCACGAGAGAACTTGGAGTGTTCAAGGAGGTGAAAGGGAGGTGTGTGGTCAAAGTGGTGTAAATGAGGGATGATGCAGTGAGAGATGAAGTCAGAGGTAGAAAGGGGACAGATAATGCATGGCCTCGTTGGCCATGTTAAAGATTTTTGAATGATCTAGGTATACAATGAAGCCATTAGAAAGTTCTAGAAAAAGTCTCATAAACCGACCTAAATATTTTTTAACAGGATCGCAGGGATCCAGTGCGGAAGAGCAGTGGGGCAAGTCAGTATTCTAGGAGAAAGGTGTAGGTACTGTGGACCAAGGTGATGGTGGCGGAGATGGAGTGAAGTCAATGGATTTAAGCAGCATTTTGAACGTAGAGCTTGTTGGCTCTGGTGACAGATGGAAGGGACATTGTGAATTACTGAGAGACGATATGAAGCATGACTCTTCAGTTTGTGTGTGAGTGTCTGGAGAAGGCTGGAAAAGGTGAAAATATTTTACTAGAACAACCAAGGTTTGGTGTGAACATGTTAAGTTTGAGATCTGTGATACATCAAAATTGGGATGTCGAGTAAAGAGGCCTTTCTAGGCTGGGTTTAAAGTTGGTCACCAGCAGGTTGATTGTATCAGAAGTGGTGGGAATGGATGTGCCTGTTTTGGAGGGAAAACACCTTACCTCACTTCTTCTGGAAGCCTTCCCTCATCTGTCAGGTGTAAAACACTCTTTCAGAAGCCTGGTCAAGAGAAAAGGAAACCCTGCTCTCAAAGGGGTCTCAGTAAAGGAAAGAATTTTAGAGTCACAGACATTGGTCAAAGGGGAAGAGTGCTAAGAAAGGGGGAAACTGAAGATGTTGAGTAAAAGGAGGTTATCGGTGAAGTGGGGTCTTGAGGGAGTTGGGAGAGGATTGAAGATTCTGGCAGTAATCCTCTGAGGCCAAAGGGAAGGGGATAAGAATGGAAATTTAGCTACATTAGTAGGATTGGGGGTCACAAGGAGATGAGAGAATTCTCCACCAGAGACCTCAGAACACACATACCAGCTGCATGTGCGTAAGTGCGTGCGCACACATACACCTGGTGGTTCATGGAGGTCATCTAGATAGAATCCATGTTTCCTACAACATTCACTGCTATTTCTTTGATAATGGGTATATGGGACGTTGAAAAACAAAATCTGAAGCCCATTCTGAGGATATTTAATTTGTGAGGGGTACCCCCATTAAAGGATGTAGAGGGTGAAATGAAAATAGGAAGCTACTAAACTTGGCTCCCTTAAACCCTCCCCTCTGATCTTTCCTCCTCTTCCATGTAGCTATAATAACTGTTTTAAAATTACTAGTTCTTTTGTCTCTTCTCTGCCTCTTCTGTTGGATTGTGAGTTCTTTGAAGCTAATGTCTGATGTATGTAAATCCATGTTTCCAGGATCCGACACAGAACAGCACATAGAAAGTGCTCAGTAGATGCTTGCTGACTGACTGCAAGAGGGTAGACTTAAGTGGATGATTGAAGAATAGAGATGACTCAGAAGCAGGAAGGAATGAGCACTTTCCCAAATGGAAGCAGAGATTATAAACTAAACTGCAGGGTTGAAATGACTGCATGTGTGGAAGGCAGTAACCACATTGCCTGACTTGGTCTTCTTATCTGTAACATGGGGATTCTTCATTTGCTCAAAGTCAGTCAACTTGGAACTGATGGTTCCTGGGTTTGTACTTGAGTCTTCCTGACTTCAAAGCTCAGGCTTTCCCACCATACCGTGCTCCCTTTTCACCAAATCATTTCCCGTAATTGTGACTCTCACCTCTCAACTTGGAGATGCCTTGTTTTGTTCTACTTGGGTCCTATGTCTTTCGTGGATGCCTTATTTATAAGATGTGTTTTCTGAGTTATATTTTTTCCTCTTTCCTAGCTCTCCACTGCGGTTTGAATCCACGGGGCATTGATCATCCTGCCTGTGCTGAAGGTATCAAACTGCAGATTGAAGGTGAAGGTGTTGAATCCCAATCCATTAAAAACAAAAATTTCCAGAAGGTGCTTGACCAAAAAGGAACCCCCAAGCGACTGCAGGCAGAAACTGAGACGGCTAAGGTAGGTAATAATCCAGTCCGCTGAGGAGCTTCTGAAGCCGCAGCTTTGACATTTTGTGGTCCAGTCCCAGAAAAGAACTGACGGTGCTTTCGTCAGTTACTGTTGTATCTTCAGTTCGAGGAACACTGCTCCTTGATCGCGGGTGGTGACAAATGAAAATATTGACGGCATCCGCTTCAGAGTGAAGCTGAAACACATTTGTGGTTAGTCTCATAGTGTGGGGCTCTGAGGGTGGTGTGGAAGGAGCTCCACAGAAGAGTGCCTTGGACTTAAAGCTGGAAGATGTGTTTGCCAGTCTCAGATTTATCATTTTGATGCTGGGCAAGTGACGGGACTTTCTAAGCCTCAGATTTTTCATCTGTAGAATGGGTATCATGAAACCTACCTTCCCCATCAGGTTGAACAGATGAAATAAGACTGTGTATTGGGAAGTATTTTCTAAAAGGCCCAGTTGTCTGCATGAGTATGAGGAACTTTTGCTGATAATTAATAATGACTGACTTTTTATTAACTATATACCTACATTCCAGGTACTGCCTGAAAGACTCGGGATACACTGACTCATTGTGTCCCTGTAACAGTTGTATGAGGTAGACAGTAGTAAACAGGGCCCTCATTAATACAAGATATAATTGCTTGATTTTGTTGTAGGATACTTTGTTCTTTTAGTCTTTAGCCTAGATGTAGGTTATAAAGCATTCACTGATAAACTAAGAGGATAGATGATCCTTCAGTAAGGGCAACCTCTTCCAAAGCTTTCCCACAGCGAAACTGGCACTACCTGGGGTTTTGTCTGGAATCGGTGAGGTGCTCATGTTGCAGGGGCTCGGTATCGAAGATGCTCATATTACTTTGCCCCTTGGAACGTGAGCAAACTGATTTTCGTGTGGTATTTGGTTTCTCTCTCATGCGTTTCTTGCAGGGGAATTCCCTTTCAAATGTTTGTTAGCTGAATGGATACATACATGCCTTAGAAAGCAAACGTGTATCATCACCCAAGAAAAGCCTTAAGTAGAAAGGTCACTTGGCTGTCATACAATAACCACCTCCCACTCCTGAAAAAAAAAATGCCTTCCAAAATCAAATGTGAATTTTTCTGCTTTATCTCCAGTTTTGAGTAATTACCATGGTTGCTTCCCTTCTTTACTGTGGGTAATTAAAAACTGATGACATTAAGACTGTGTGTGTGTGTGCTTGTGCACGCGCGCATGTGCACTGTAGGGAATGGGGAATGATCAGCAGAGAAACTATTACAGGTATCTTGTGCTAGACATTTTAGCTGAGAGTAATTGCACTTCCTAGGAAATTGGTTGATCATTGGCGTTCGGTTTGTGAGAGGAGTTGGAAATAAGTGGTCCCTATGATGACACTGTAAATCCCATCAGCTGGTTGTGCCCCACAGACATCTTGAAAGAGTGACGAAAAGAATGCCTTAAGGGTCTTCTTTAACTGGGAAGATAAATGGTTTGTCTGGGTAGAATCTTTTTGAGAGATGCTTAAAGATACAAAACTAGAGTGGAGAAACAGAAAACAATTAACATCTGCCTGATTTTAATTCAACTTTAAACATGTCCAGATTCTCTTATTTGCAAAACAGATCGGTAATATAAGAAGTTTGATTCAAATCTGATATGATTTGATGACTGCTGAGTTACTTGGAATGTGTGACATTGTAGTAAATCCTGAATTTTCACATCAGTAGCACTTGCCTTTGCCTCTAGATCACTTCATATTTGCTTTGCCGAGAACCTGCTTCACTGGGAATGTAGTGGTCCAGAAGGAACCTTTCCTCGGGAATAGATGGCAGTTGGAAACCAGATTCATTTGAGTTTATCCAGATCATCTACCTTGAAACCCGCCAACAAATGGAGCTGGGAGGGGATTCTGAGTGTTTTCACATTGACATCATGTTGAGGAGTGGAGAGACTCGAAACTTTAGTTACACTCGAAGTACTTGTTTTTTCATAGATGACAGTGGTGGTTACTGGGGGGACAAAGTAAAAATAAGTACCACAGAGTGATGACTGCAGACTTGCAGTATCACATGCCCCACAGAGTGTGCATCACAGACAGTGTGAACGTGTTCTGTGTGTGTACAAACACCTTCAGACGTGCTCTTCTGCTGCACTTAGAGGGTTATCGGAGTTGCGAGTCATCACTTTCCTTGGGTAAATAATTGAATCTCTGGTAACTTGACTTACTCTAAACTTAGCTTTAAAAAAAAAAATGGCTAGAAACGCATGCATTTAGAGCCACTCAGTAGTGTAAATTGATACAGATTTTCTACAGGACAGTCTGATAGTAGTTAGCAAAATTTTAAATGTGTATCATTTTTGAGCCAGTAATTCCCTGTTTATGAACCTGTCCTCAGGAAATAATCCTCCAGATGTGCAAAGATGGCTGCAGGAGAATGGTCGCTCCAGCGATGTTCATAACATGAAAACTGTCCATTCACAGGACACTGGCTAAAGAAACTGTATTCATGGAACGGAATAGAATTCTCCCTTTACAAGGGTGAAGGAGACTGAGACCATTGTGTATTTGTCTTAGTCTGTTAGGGCTGCTAAAACAAGATACCAGAAACTAGGTGGCTTATAAACAATAGAAATTTATTTCTCACGGTTCTGGAGGCCGGGAAGTTCCAGATCAAGTTGCCACCAGGATGAGTGTCTGAGCATCTGCTTCCTGGTTCATAGATGGTCATCATCTCACTGTCCTCCCCTGGTGGAAAGGGACCAGGGAGCTCCCTGGAGTCTCTTTCACAAGGGCATGAATCCCACTCATGAGGGCTCCACCCTCATCACCTTAAGACTCCAAAGTCTAGGAATTAGACACTAATTTAGGGGCACACAGACATTCAGTCTATAGTAGTCCTTATGCGGGAAAAGGAGTGTGATGCTGTTTTAGAGGAGGGAGGACGAGGAGAAGGGCAGGTTCCTGCACAGTGTGTATAGCATGTTCCCATTTTCATAAAAAATGTCTTTTCTCTATAAAAAGGACATTATCGAGTCTGGAAGAGTTCATTCCACCCTCTGAGCAGCAGTTTATACATGGAATTGAGACTGTGGGGAAAACTTTCTCTTTCTCCACTTCTCTCTTTGAGGTTTGTTTTTTTTTTTAAGCGTATTTATTTTAAAGCCCTTTTCAGATTGCCCCATTAACTTTAGCAGCTCAGCCATGACTTTTCCTGTTTGTTGAGTCAGTACTCTGCCTTTGAGGGTGCTGTCCTTCCTCCCGAGGCTTCTTACTCTTGCTGGTTATTTGCCAAAGGAGAGAGTTATCTTGGGGACTGTGTGTGCCTCGGGTTGTGGAGGCTGTCTGATGAGGTGCTTTTTCAGTCTGTGTGCTGCTGAATCGAGCACTGATGAGGTGCTTTTGTGTTGGTCTCTTCCTGAGCTTTTGGGGCTGTAACGGCTTTGACCAGGTGTTAAATTATGTTTTAATTTGATGTTCCCTTTGCTACTGATTGACTGTGCAAATCGTACCCGCCCATGAGAGCCTCGCTGTCTGCGGGCTTCACACAGGAACGTAGTTCCAGTTCGCTGTCACACCTGTGGGCTCTGCTGCTTTGGGGTCTGGCCGTGTTGGGCTTGGAAACCAATCCCTGATGCAGATCCCCAGCAGGCGCAGTGAGCTTCATGCCTCCTCACTGCTGTGGACCTAGACATTTCTCTTCCTTGATTTCAAGGTAGGCCTTATATAAATTTAAAAATATATCTTTAAGTTTCTAGTGTCGTTAAGTTACTAGAGCCTGAGAGAAGATTATATAGCATAAGCTTAATCTACCATCTTGACCCTGACATTTATATTGCTTTCATGCTTAAGACCTATCTCTATCTCTACATATTCTAGGGGGAAAAGAATCATCCTTTTAGCTTCTTTATCTTAAATGTGAGTTGGGCACCCTTGGCACCAAAAAGACTAGGGCCCTAATTCCAGAAGAGGTTATCTGTGCCAAAGTTGCCTTCAGCTCTTTTAGATCAAAGAGACATCAATAGAGAATGAAGCTCACTTTTAAGCCTTATTAGGTAGCAAGAGTCTAGTCGGAAAAAAAAAAGATACAATTGAACTGTGGATCCGCAGAAGATGTTTACCACCATGAGTCCTCAATGCCAGTGAGGATTTGGGAATCCAGTGAGCGTGCATGCCACAGCACAGCTGCAGTTACAAGTTCAGAAGGCGAAAACTATGTTGACTTAGCTTTACGGGTAGATATCAGGCAAGAGAGCTAGTAGGTGTAGCGTTTCATCTCATCAGGAGGTCCGGAAGTTAGGAAGGTACACAGCTTCTTTTGCTCCCTCCACCACACAGGGGCATGTACCGCTGCCACAGGTGAGAGCCAAGGTGGGGATGAGTCTCCTTGACACAGAGAAGGCACAGCCTCTTTGCCCCACCACTCTTTTCATCATTCTAGACATGTGGGCCCAAGGCCAACTCACAGGTCCTGCCTCAAGGAAGCAGCCTTGTGAGCGACTGAGGTCCTTCACAGACAGACCTGAGGTTAATGAATCCTTTCTTCCCGGGACAGAAGGATGGGCTGCCAGAGAGGCTGTGGTGCGCTAGTAGAGGAAGACGTTCACCTGTGTTGTGAGATATGGGTAACATTCAAATACTCAGCAGTGAGAATGGAAGGTGCCCTCAGCAATGACGTCTTGGCTGTCTTGGCAAGGTGTAGCAGCAGACATCCTCAGGTTGCCCTCAGCCACAGTCTCTTTGAGTCAGGGTTTGCATAGTAGAAACAGGTTGAAACAGCAGGTTGGTGCCAAGTCCTGTGGGATTTGAATGCTAGAAGTATGGATTTATTTTCTGTCTGTGCCATCCAATATGGTAGCCACTAGTCATATGTGGTGATTTAAATCTATTAAAAATGAATAAAATGAAAAAAAAATCATTTCCTTGGTCATACTGGCTTAATTTCAGTTGGTCTGCTTGTGTCCAGGGACTACTGTTTTGGATAGCACAGACATAGAACATCACAAAAAGTTCTGTTGGGAGGTGCT